TCTGTGCCTCTTCTGCAACGTCCAGTGCTTAGAATTCATGGTCGCAGCAGTGGCAAGAGAAATAATCAAACTGTGTAAGGAGGTTTGAGGGCCACCTTGACCTTCGTTTGGCTTTTTAAAATTACACCCCATAGCTCTTATTTGATTACCTGAGGTGACATAACAAGAAAGATTTGTTTCTCTGTATTTTTCAATTTCTGTGTCTGGCACTTGGCCACATGTATCTGGGGTAACGCAAGTAAAGTTTCCTCTCCAACTGTGTATGTGAATTTTTGAAGACTCAGACCTGCAGAAGAGTTTTGATGGACTTGAATTTCTTGCACAGCTCAAACAGGAGGGATGTAGGATTGGCATGAAAATGCAAAGATTTGAACTTGAAACAAGGTGGCTGATACCTCTTCCTAATGCAGTTACTTTGGAGTGGCCTGCAGCTTCCCACAGAGATAAGGAAAGATGGGTATGCCCTTCTTAAATAAAACAAAATCTGACAGATTTTTCTCTGAAGGTCCCTGATGTTATTAAATATTAAATGCTGAGCATCTGATTCTTATGGTACATATTTTGCTTCTAGATTTAAAAAAAAACATAATGAAGTCTTCTGGAAAATACGTTTTTTGGTTTTGTATGGAAGTGATAAGAGGAGGTCCTCAAAGCAAAATGGTAAGAGTAAATAATGAGGACTGATATAAACCAGTGTGATTTGAAGCAACAGGTAAGGTTTGTTGTGTGGATTTGGGTTTTTTTCCTCCACATCTCCAGCACCCAAAACTGAACTAATTTCTTTAGTGAAACAGGAACTTAAACATTTATTTCATGTGCAAATTTTGCTTTTATGTTCGTATTATTTGTATCAGGAGTCACTTCTAACTTAGTGAAGAAAAAACTTGAAACCAATAGTGGAAACTCTACTTTTTGTCAAAAGGAGTAGGATTTGTATTTGGCTGAAGATGATTTTAGCTCTGCTTTACTCATGGCAGTAAGCTGACTTTCCAGAAGTGGCCAGAGATGGTGTGCCATAGCCTCTTCTATGGTTGTATTCACCATTTCCCTTAAGCAAAGAAGGTATGATTTGAGCTTGATTTTCGTAATCTTGCTACAGAAGTTTCAACACACTGGTTGAAGGACTATAAATTTGACTGAGTAGATTTGGTGCTTGTATGTGTAGCACATACTGTACTGGTGTGGTGATAAATGGATGAGATACTTTGGTTCACAGAATCATTAGAGTTGGTAGGGACCTTTGGAAATCATCTAGTCCACCCCCCTGCCAAGGTAGGGCCACCTACAGCAGGATACACAAGAAGGCATCCTGGCAGGTTTTGAATGTCTCCAGAGAGCGAGACTCTACAACCTCCCTGGGCAGCCTGTTCCTGTGCTCTGCCACCCTAAAGGTAAAGAAGTTCTTCCTCATGTTGAGGTGAAACTTCTTGTGGTTTAGTTTATGGGCATTGCTCCTCATCCTGTTGCTGGGCACTACTGAAGTGAGTCTGGCAGCATCCTCTGTGCACTCGACTTTGAGATATTCATATCCATTAATGAGATACCCCCTCAGTCTGCTCTTTAGACTAAACAGGCCTAGCTCCCACAGTCTCTCCTCATAAGAAAGATGCTCCAAAGCCTCAATCATCCCTGTGGCCTGCCGCTGGACCCTTTCCAGTACCTCTTTGTCTGCCTTGTACTGAGGCACTCAGAACTGGACACAGTACTCCAGATGTTGTCTCACCAGGGCCAAGTAGAGGGGGAGGGTTGCCTCCCTCGACCTGCGGCCGCACTACTCCGGATGCAACCCCAGGATACTATTGGCCCTCCTGGCCGCAAGGGCTCGCTGCTGGCTCATAGTAAACTTACCATCTCCTTCTCAGCTGAACTGCTCTCTAGTAGGTCAGCCACCAACCCGTGCTGGTACTTGGGGTTCTTTCTCCCCAGGTGCAGTACCCTACACTAGCCCTTGTTGAACCTCATTAGGTTTCTCTGCCCAAATCTCCAGCCTATCATTGGCAAACTTGCTGAGGGTACGCTCTAGCCCTTCGTCCAGGTCATTGATAAACAAGCTGAAAAAGACCAGACCCAGTATTGGTCTTTGGGGAACACCACTGACCACAGGCCTCCAACTGGATTCTGCTTGGCTGATCACAGCCCTCTGAACTGTGTTGTTCAGCCAGTTCCTAATCCACCTCACTGTCCATTCATGTAACCTGCATTTCCTAAACTTACCTACGAGAATGTTATGGGTTAATTTACTAAGATATTGGCTGTTTCATAAGGGCTGTGTTTCTACTTTGTGCTTACTGAAGTCAAGGAAGAAATGGGGGGAAGTTTATAATATAAATTGCAGTTGATGTCAAGATGTCTTGCTCCTTTTCTGACACCCTTGAAAAATACGTTGAGAAACAGACAAGCAGCCTGGTGCATCTTCTTCCACACATTTCCTACTGAGCGTGCTAAGACCTTACTTACTCAAGTAGCTTGAAATTGGGCTGCATGGGGTATTTTTATTCTGTTTTAAATGCGATCTGCATGCACATTCACTGTGTTGCTGGTATTGGATATGTACTTGAAGGACACTTGACTTCCATCCTTTGCTCCTTGCCCCCTTCTTCTTCTTTCTGGAGCCACAGAAAAAAAGCAATTTTTTGTGCAGCTAGAATTGAGACCAGTAGGAAACCAGTTCCTTCTTTAAGCTACAATGGCTTTTAGCTTGGCCTGGAAGATGGAGGTTTCCCTTTTCCTTGTTCTATTCATGGAGGATAGATTAAGTTTTGATAGTTTCTTCTTTCTTTATTTCTTTGTTTTTAATGCTTTTGTTGCTTTAGGTGTCTGTAGCATCTTAAAACTTGAGTTGCAATTGGATCAGATATTCCTTTGACTGATTTGAGTTTATGGTTTATATCTGGGTAAGTTATAATTAATGATGAAATTAAGGGAAATAACCCCAGCTGTTACTGAATTGAATATATGATTCTGAACTTTAAGAATGTGAGAGAACTGTGAGAATGTGGACATGCAAAATTATCTCAAGGTCAGAAAATGAGTCAGTAAGAAGTTGGTTGGCAAGGGTGTTAGCATAAGATTTTTGGGAGAATAATTTACACCACAATTTCAAAGATGGCTGGGACTTGAGGATGAGTAACGTGTCCTGGGTTCAAATGGAGAGTGACTACTACATTAAGAATGGAATATGTACTTTTGGGAAGTTACAGCACCAGTGAAAGATGAAGATCTGTGGTAGCTTGTCCTGGGTTCAGCAGTAGCAGTCATGTTTCTCCTTCTTGGTAGCTGGTGCAGTGCAGTGTTTTGACTTTCGGCCTGGGAACAGAATTGATAGCGATGTTTTGGTTTGGCCAAGGACTTTGTGAGCCTCATGCTCTGCCAGGGAGGAGGGGAAGCCAGGAGGAAGCAGAGACAGGACACCTGACCCAAACTGACCAAAGAGGTATTCCATACCACAGCACGTCATGCCCAGGAGGTAACTGGGAGTGAGCTGGAAGGGCTGGGGACTGCAGGGTTGGAGGAGGTATCGGTCGGAGCTTGGTCGGGCTTGGGGGGCAAGTTATCGGTCGGCTGGTGCTGAGGTGTTGTATTCTCTTCCCTTGTTATTTCCTTTATCATTATTATTACTGGTGGTAGCAGTAGTGATTTGTGTTATACCTTAGTTACTAAACTGTTCTTATCTCAACCGGTGGGAGTTGCATTCTTTTCGATTCTCCTTTCTGTCCTTCCGGGAGCAGGGGGTGGAAGAGAAAGGGGGGGAAGTGAGCGAACGAATTACCTGACTGGGTTTAAACCACGACATAGCTGTACATAAATACAATAGGTACCTATACAGCTGTGAAAATGCAGACAAGAAACTGCATTTAATTTGAACAGTGTCATTAACATAATGTGTTAACTGGGTGTCGTGGTTTAAGCCCAGCCGGTATTTCAGTACCACACAGCAGTTCGCTCACTCCCCACCCTTCTTCCCCCTGCTCCTGGAGGGATGGGGAGGAGAACTGAAAGAATGTAACTCCCATGGGCTGAGATAAGAACAGTCCAGTAACTAAGGTATAACACAAATCACTACTGCTACCACCAATAATAATAATGCTAAGGGAAATAACAAGGGAAGAGAATACAAGTACTCACCACCCACTGACCAATACCCAGCCCGACCGAGCAGCGAACTAGCCCTTCCGGGTAACTCCCTCCAGTTTCTGCACTGGGCATGACGTGCTGTGGTATGGAATACCTCTTTGGCTAGTTTGGGTCAGGTGTCCTGTCTCTGCTTCCTCCCGGCTTCCCTTCCTCCGTGGCAGAGCAGGAGACTCAGAAAGTCCTTGGTCAGAGTAAACATTACTGAGCAACAACTAAAAACATTGGTGTTATCAGTGCTGTTCCCAGGCTGAAAGTCAAAACCACAGCACTGCACCAGCTACTAAGAAGGAGAAAAATGACTGCTACTGCTGAACCCAGGAAACTGGGAAAGAGGAAGACTTGGAGAACAGAAAGATGAAGATGATGATGCACCTCTTATGATATGCCTCTTAGAAGACTCATCACTTGGCAGAATGATGCATCAAGTGCCAAAGTGTATGGAGAGAGTGGTATTTAAATGAGCAGAAGGAATATATTTGTGACAGCAGAAAAGGTAAACTTTTGAACTGTTAATGCAAATACTTACATAAAACTGGAGAATAATCTGCCAAGATAAAACATAATAAATATCCCTGTAATTTGGCATATATGAAAATAGGTGATGGAAGACTTGGCCAAAAGTGAAATAGAAATAAGTGTCAGACTGATACAGGGCAAGCAAATGTGTCATTAGAAGTCTTGGTTTTGCAGATAGTGTGTACAATGGAAGAATGACTACTAAAAGCTGCATTTGATGAATAGCTTCAAAGGTGACTTGGCAGTTCAGCTGATAAAATACATCTAAGCATCTTAGTGTGTTGTTTTTTGCACAATAGCACTTTAATAGCAAAGCCTGGTACTAATAGCTTTTTTCTGAACTGCAACAGTAGCGCACCTTACTTTCTGACTATTGCAGGTACCTTTGCCTGCAAGATGGTACCATTTGTTCAATCCACTGCCGTTGTAACTGAGATTCTTACCATGACCTGTGTTGCTGTGGAAAGACACCAGGGAATTGTGCATTCACTGAAAATGAAGTGGCAGTACACCAATAAGAGCTTTCATGATGCTTGGTAAGATTTTAAGCACCTCCAGTAACCATGTGTGCGGAGAAATAATGTTCAGTGTAGCTGGTGTAGATGGCATGGCAGAACTGGAGGCACTGATATGACCAGTGAATCAGAGATAGACTTAACGGTAAGAAGTTTGGTAACACGTATGAAATGGCTCAAGGATAGTGCCTATATGTACAGATATGTGTAATAATTACTAGCCAAAACCCTGACGATAGACTTGGAATCTGAAGTCAAAAGATTGATTTAACCAAGACTCTGATAAACCTTTGGCAACTGTTGTGGTCCTTCCATTGTAACACAAAGAGAACATATGTAATCCTGCTCATGCTAATTAAGTTGCCTTTACACCTGAATACCAGTAAATGAAGGTAGATTGAGAGAAAGAAAACTGGAAAAAAGAAAACTGAAAAAAGAGCATGCTGTTACTTCTTGATGTGAATGATGACTGATGTATGCCTCCTATAAAGCTGTGCTTTATTTAAATTGTCTACTTTGCCTGACTTCTTAAAGATGATGCTGTTTAACTGTGTACCAAAACTTATGCTGCTTGTTGTACAAAGTATTAAAACTGTATTTGTTTACAGGCATAGTCTGGTTGCTGGGATTTATTGCTGGGTCAGCTACGTGGCTTGAGGTATGTTAGGTGAAATGGGAATTTACATTTGAAATGCGGTCCTTGCTGGATCTTTCTGTACGTTCAGCAATGAAACTGAAAAAATTCATAAGAAGTGAGTGGGTAAGAGAAATGGAGCTGTTGTTCTGTGTGCCAGCATGACAGGCTAAGGATTAGTACTTACATGCACTGGAAGGACTGCCAGCAGGGACTAGTTGCTTCGAAGAGCAGTAATTACATCTGTGAATTCCACTGGGGCTTCCTTTCAGTTCATAGGTGCACTGGCACACAGCAGTGTAGGGCTTAGATGACTGAGGATGATACAGTATTCTCCGAGATTTGGAAGAACTGTGCCTAGTTTGAAATGCCCATTATAGTGTAAGGAGTTAGCATACACTCTGGGTGGGGGTGGGAGGGAAAGGCTTGTCAGAATCTGCTCTCACCAGTCTGAATGTTAACAAATTTGTTTCATTTTTTTTAAGTGACTAATTTGTGAGGTTTCTGTGCACCCATCTATACCTGCAAAATATGCAGCCAAGGTCTCCTTTGACAGTCCACATTTAAAAAAAAAAAAAAAGGAAGTTTAGAGGAGGAGATCAGAGCATCTCCTGACCTCTCTGTGTCAACTCGGACCAATCAATATTTCATGTGGAAAAGCGTGTGGAAGAACTGTCACTTTGAAAAGTCTCGCTGTTTAATGCTGGTTGTTATATTAAGAGCAAGGAATATTTGAATGTGCTTGGTTTTTACACTTGGGGTGAATACTGCAGTAACTCATCTCTCTTAAACTTCTTACAGGTTAAATATGACTTTCTATATGAAAAGGTGTATGTTTGTTGCTTGGAAGAATGGGCCAGTCCAATTTATCAGAAGATACATACAACCTTTATTCTTGTTATATTTTTCCTTCTTCCACTGACGCTGATGCTCTTTTTGTCCACTAAAATTGGCTATGAACTCTGGATTAAGAAACGAATGGCAGATGCTTCAGTTCTTCAAATCATTCATGGCAGTGAAATGTCTAAGATACCAAGGTTCTGGTTATTTGGTTTTTTTGTGTTGTTTCCTTTTTTGTGTTGTTTCCTTTTTTGTGTTTTTGTTTTTTTTGTTGTTGTTGTTTTTATTTGGCTAGTTTTTGGGTTTTGTTTTTTTATTTGTTTTGTTCTGTTTTTTTCCTGGCAGCTCTTGAAAAGGGGTGCAAAAAAAAAAAAAAAAAGAGGGGTGTGGAAAATCTGTCTGTCTGCAAGCGTAGACCAGTTTTCCAAAGCTAGCTAGTTATTTAATGCTGAGGTACCCAATTCAAGGCAACCTTAATAGGCTGTTTTCAAAGTATAGTGTAGCCACACCTTGGATGTCAAGCTCTTTCAATACAATTCATACAGCGTGAAATGCTTTTTTTTAGAAGATAGGGCTCATGAGTTAGAACATGACTTGGGGAAAATGCTACTACATGGTCTCGAAATATTCTTTGGGAAGTTCCTTATATAATTCTGAGACTGTGAATACCTCTTTATGATCTTATTGTAACTTAAATTGGCATACGGGGTGTGGAGGGAAAATCAGAATTCAAAACCTACTTTTACAGTTGAACTTCATACAACTTCCAAAGAATTTTGAGTGTTCTCAAATGTTTGCATGAGATTATTCAAATGGTAATGCTCTGACAAGTTATGAAAATTAATGATTACCAACTTCAGTATTTAGCAGTAAGTACAGGTTGCACTTAATACTGCCTCAAGTTTTTCCTTTCCATTTGGCAAATTCATCTGTTGCCTGAATTGTTAATGGTTCTGCTCATTGAGGAGAGTATCACCTTATGTATCGACTGTAGGAAGAATACTGACAAGCAGCTTAAAGATCAATGGTTCCTTAGATATTTGCCCAATGAAGTGCCTAAGGAAGCTGACCACTGCGTATCAGAACTGATGGAGAGTATAACCTCACAGGAGTTAAGCGGTCATGTAATCATTGGGCAACTACTCACATAATTTCCATACAGCAGGGAGCAGACCCTGTAACTGCTACCAGTCAAGTGCTGCTTATTTAGCTCAAGCGAGAGATCCATCTTCGGATCTATAAAGGTACTTACATGAATTGTATATCCATTTGTGGATATACATGTATATATTCATGTATACTTTGAGTTTGTGAGATATTGCAGTGCAGGCAGGGGGTGTGTTTCTAGCTCTTGCACTTTGCCTACCAGCAAAGGTTGAATGTTGCAGTATAGTTTCATTTTGTGTCAAATTCTCTGTGTAATCATAGAATCATAAAATAGTTAGGGTTGGAAAGGACCTTAAGATCATCCAGTTCCAACACCTCTGGCATGGGTAGGGACACCTCACACTAAACCATGTCACCCAAAGTTTTGTCCAACCTGGCCTTGAACACCACCAGGCATGGAGCATTCACAACTTCCCTGGGCAACCCATTCCAGTGCCTCACCAACCTCACAGTAAAGAACTTCTTCCTTATATCCAATCTAAACTTCCCCTGTTTAAGCTTGAGCCTGTTATCCCTTGTCCCACCACTACAGTCCCTAATGAAGAGTCCCTCCCCAGCACCCTTATAGGCCCCCTTCAGACACTGAAAGGCTGCTATGAGGTCTCCATGCAGCCTTCTCTTCTCCAGGCTGAACAGCCCCAACTTCCTCAGCCTGTCTTCATACGGGAGGTGCTCCAGTCCCCTGATCATCCTCGTGGCCCTTCTCTGGACTTGTTCCAACAGTTCCATGTCCTTTTTATGTTGAGGACACCAGAACTGCACATAATACTCCAGGTGAGGTCTCACAGGAGCAGAGTAGAGGGGCAGGATCACCTCCTTCCACCTGCTGGTCATGCTCCTTTTGATGCAGCCCAGGATATGGTTGGCTTTCTGGGCTGCGAGCACACACTGCTGGCTCATGTTCATTTTGTCATCGACCAACACCCCCAAGTCCTTCTCCGCAGGGCTGCTCTGAATCTCTTCTCTGCCCAACCTGTAGCTGTGCCTGGGATTGCTCCAATCCAGGTGTAGGACCTTGCACTTGGCATGGTTAAACTTCATAAGGTTGGCATCAGCCCACCTCACAAGCATGTCGAGGTCCCTCTGGATGGCATTCCTTCCCTCCAGGGTATCAACCGAACCACACAGCTTGGTGTCATCAGCAAACTTGCTGAGGGCACACTCAATCCCACTGTCCATGTCCACTGACAAAGATGTTGAACAAGACCGGTCCCAACATGGATCCCTGAGGGACACCACTCGTTACTGGTCTCCAGCTGGACATTGAGCCACTGACCACAACTCTTTGTGTGCGGCCATCCAGCCAGTTCTTTATCTACTGAGTGGTCCATTGTCGTGGTTTAAACCCAGTCAGGCAATTTGTTCACTCACTCCCAGTGAGTGGTGCCGGGCTGACAACAATCAAGACCCCCCCCCTGCCGGGGCTCTCCCCTTCCCCACTCCCAGAGGAACGGGGAGGAGGATCGAAAGGGTGCAACTCCTACGGGTTGAGACAAGAACAGTCCAGCAACCAATGTACAACACAAATCACCACCGCTACCACCAACGACAACAATGATAAGAGAAAATAACAAGGGAAGAGAATACACCGGCCAAGAAATGAGTCCCACCCAGAAGCCCGTGTCCTTCCGGGTAACTCCCAGTTACCCCCCACCCCGGGCATGACATGCTGTGGTATGGAATACCTCCTTGGCTAGCCTGGGTCAGGCGCCCCGTCTCTGCTTCCTCACAGCTTCCCCTCCTCCCTGGCAGAGCATGAGCCTCACAAAGTCCTTGGTCAGGGTAAACATCACTTAGCAACAACCGAAAACATCGGTTTCACCAACATTGTTCCCAGGCTGGAAGTCAAAACACAGCACTGCACCAGCTACCACAAAGGAGAAACATGACTGCTACTGCTGAACCCAGGACATCCATCCATCAAATTGATGTCTCTCTAATTTAGAGACAAGGATGCCATGCAAGACAGTGTCAAACACTTTGCACAAGTCCAGGTAGAAGACATCAATTGCTCTGCCCTTGTCCATCAGTTCTGTAGCCCCATCATAGAAGGCCACCAAATTGGTCAGACAGGATTTCCCCTTAGTGAAGCCATGCTGGCTGTCACCAAGCACCTTGTTGATTTTCATGTGCCTTAGCATGCCTTCCAGGAGAATCTGCTCCAAGATTTTGCCAGGGATGGAGGTGAGACTGACTGGTCTGTAGTTCCCTGGGTCATCCATTTTCCCCTTCTTGAAAATGGGGGTTATATTTCCCTTTTTCCAGTCATTGGGAACTTCACCTGACTGCCATGATTTTTCAAGTATGAAGGACAGTGGCTTAGCAACTTCATTTGCCAGTTCCTTCAGGACCCGCGGATGGATCTCATCAGGTCCCATGGACTTGTGCATGTTCAGGTTCTTAAAATGGTCTCGAACCAGATCCTCTTCTACAGTGGGCCCAAGGTCTTCATTCTCACAATCCCTTTGTCTGTTTTCCAAGACTTTGGTGGTTTCGTCAGAGCTTTTGCCAGTGGAAACCAAGGCAAAGAAGTCATTCAGAACCTCAGCCTTCTCCAAATTCAGGGTAGCCAGTTCTCCCGATAGCTTCCAGAGGGGGCCTACGTTGTCCCTAGTCTGTCTTTTATTCGCTACGTACCTGTAGAATTCCTTCCTGTTATCCTTAACATCTCTAGCCAAGTTTATTTCTAACTGGGACTTAGCTTTCCTAATCTGGTCCCTAGCTTCCAGGACAACATCCCTGTATTCTTCCCAGGCCTCCTGTCCTTGCTTCCACCTTTTATAAGCCTCTTTTTTCCTTTGAATTTTCCTCCGCAGCTCCTTATCCATCCAAGGAGGTCTCCTGGCCCTCCTGCTGCACTTCCTTCTAGTTGGGATGCAACACTCCTGAGCCTGCAGTAGGTGATCCTTGAATATCATCCGACAGTCTTGGGCCCCCCTGCCCTCTAGGACTATATCCCATGGAATGGACAGTGGCTTAGCAACTTCATTTGTCAGTTCCTTCAGGACCCACAGATTGATTTCCTCAGGTCCCATGGACAGTGGGCCTCCGGTCTTCATAATCAGGTGCTATAGGTATTTTCAGTGCTCCCAGATCTAGGAAAGGACTCCTGTTTTTTGAGGTGTTAATGGAATTTCATGGGTTTGGTTTTGTTTTCATTTTTTTTAATTAATTTTTCTTGGGTTTTGTTTTGCCCCCATCTCTTACTATGGAAATTGCATGTGCTTGAATAGAGTGAAAATGCCTTGCAAGTTACGCTCATGTCACTGCTTGATGCTGCTGCCAAGTGTATTGCTTTCCCAAAAGAGCGAAATAAAAGGTATTAATTGATGTACTACATTTATATGATGCTGCATTTTTTTTGTTTCGGAGGGATCTGTGTACTTCTGAGCATTCTTCCAGGGTTTTGTTTACATCTGTAACCATCAGAACATATTTACAGATCTAACTTGGAGACACATGTAACTATCAGTCAGCTCTCAGTGACTCAGTATGGAATGTCTTGATGCAATTTCAGCAAGAAGAAGCAAGCAATTGTTATGATGGTGATGGTAGTGTTTCTCTTTGCACTCTGTTGGGCCCCTTTCCATGTGATTCACATGATGATAGAATACAGTGAGTACCTGCCATATGTCATGCAACAAAGCTTTTATTTTCTTTTTCTGTTTTTTTGGTTTTTTTTTAATAGTGGAACTACAGGTTGTGAAAGGCTGGTGCTGCTGGAGCACTCAGCTATAGAATACCTTTGACTAACAAAGTTTAATGTCATGCTTATAAAACCCAGATCTGTCTTGTAATAGAGATACATAGCCAACAACACAAGAAATACTCTCAAATCTGCAATGGACAGATCTGCAATGCTCATGGAAAAATGAGTACATTTAAAAAACCTATTATTATAGAATCATCGAATCATTTGGCTTGGAAAGGACACTTAACATAGTGTTTGGGAGATACCTTATATCAGAGAGAAACTTCTCGGCCACATCTCTTCTTCCCTGCTGTGTGAATTAAAACCAAACACACATACAAAACCCCTAACAAAGATGGGTTTGCAACAAGACAAAGAGATTAATCTTTGTGAACTTTATTGCAGGGTGAGTGGGAGGGAACCCAAGCTCTCTACCAGCTCTTTCAGAACGAAGAGAACGAAGGTTGTCATAGACTCTAAATTTGTACAGCACAAAATCCAGTCCTGAAAAGGAGACTTTTTAGGTCTTATAAGACTGAAGAAAAAGCAAGACTTGACTGTTAGGATGGCAAGCATATATGTAGATATTTTTCTTTGTATGTCAGTCGTGCCACCCTCATTTGCTGAAAGGTCAATAGCACTTGACTAGAAGCTACAAGTTATTTCCAATTTATAAAACCTCTTGAACAAGGAACTTTTTTCATTCAAAGTAAATTTTAATTTAACGTGTGAAGACTTCTATTTGCATCCACTGCCGTACTGCTTTGAGTGAAATTTATGAACTATTTATCTCTTCACCTGCCCTGTTTTTAATGAGGTAGACATATTGGAAATATAAATACTGGGCATCACAGTAATGCTAATGAATAATACCCAATGAATCCAGTTGAGCTTTTTCACTGGTCTTGACTAGATACTTAGCTTCAAAGTGCATATATATTGCTTCTTATCTTTGCTTTATGCTGTTTGCCCTATTCTCTGGGGTCTTAACACTGTTCATACCCCATACCCTGAATGGGTACTGAGATAGCAAGTGGGACTACACAGCAGTCTGTATGTAGGAGCAAGAGGAAGTTTGCAATAGGTGGTGTACTTGCCAAAGGCAGCATCTATTTTTTCATCTTCTGTCACAAATAAGGTTGTAGTAGATAAATCGCTAGTCCTGCAGCCAAGCAGCTAAACCAAATGATGCTTATGCCTAGGCAGAATCACAAGTGCAGAAGCTGTAACTATTAAAATTGTCCGGATTGTCCCATGTTAGGGTTGCCCACAACACTCCATGAACTGTTTGCTCTCATTTTCATTGCTGAGTTCAGGAATTATTTCAGATGCTGCAAGGCCTTTATCTTACTTGCTATATAAACCAGAGTTTGGTTATTAAGTATTGGGATTCAAGAAATTACGAGTCTTCTGTGATCTTGGTGATTAAAAAGTGAGAGATGTGACCAAGATGATGCATGTTTTTGCTTCCCTGAGTTGACCTGTGACAGGCCAGAGAAAGAAGCAGTGTGGTTAGTGATAAGACAAGGACTGGTTTTAAAGTACTTGTGCATTTTTATAAGGACATAAAGCTTGGAGCCGGAAGAACTACTTGAATAAATGAGGCCTATGCTTTGCAGACTGGAAGATTTCTATTTCTTGGCTACTGGGCAAGTTTTTTGGCTCATGAATTGCCTCTTTTGAATGTCTCTGTCCTTATTTACATGTGCACAAAGCAGGGTTAGGTGGCAGATTATGATTTTCTGTGCTGATAAAGCCCTACTGCTAACATTAAGACCCTCCAGCAAGGTCTTTTGTTGACTTTAAATGAGAGCTTCTAATGGCAGATCGGATATAATTAGGATAAACAGGCACTAATGCTGTTCTGTGCTTACAGCACATTTCCTTCTTCCTTTCCAGGTAATTTTGAAAAGGACTATGATGATGTGACAGTCAAAATGATCTTCGCAATTGTCCAGACTATAGGATTCTTCAATTCCATTTGCAACCCTCTGGTGTATGCTTTCATAAATGAAAATTTCAAGAAAATTTTTTTGTCTGCCATCTGCTTCTGCATCATCAAAGAAAGCGCATCACCAACCAGGCAACTTGGCAACTTGGGGACTACCATAAGGCGGCAGAAGGCAAGGGCTTCTCAGAGAAACCCCATAGACTCGGACAAGGTCAGGAGGGAGGCATTCAGCAATGGCAACATTGAAGTCAAGTTCTATGATCAGCCTGCTTCAAAAAGGAATTTGAAAAGGAACTTTGCCTTGTTCAGCTCAGAGATCAGTGTGCATTCTGCATTGGGAAATGGACAGTAGCATCACCAGGGTTTTGAGAATGGGAAAAGCATTCTTTTTATATGGTAACTTTCAATAAGCCATTAAAAATAGCTTTCTAATTTGCATTCTGAAATAAGGGTTGGAAAATATTTTGTGGGCTATTCTAATGTTGGGATAATGGTTGAGAAAATTATATATTATATAAAGATGAGGAGTAAAATGTTGGAAAATGATATTGCCATATTATTTCCAGGAAAAAAAAATAAAAATCCCACTTTTCTTCCTAAGCTAATATAGGGCTTGTTTGCCCTCTGCTTTAGGTAAATCAAACAACTACTGCTTGCTCAGTTTATTCTATGTCTGCATGCTGGCACACTGCTGGAGCACAAATAGGTAAATGCCAGAAGAGAAGAACTACAGAGAGAGCTTGGAAATCTGACATGGGTCTAATACTTCAAGATGTGCTCCCTGCAGCTCTGAGAACTGGGAAGCTTCAGCTGCAAGTTCAGGAAAAATGCAGACTGAGATGCAATTCTGTTTTGGAAAAAAAAGAAAAATATGGAAGAGCCAGCCAGATTCTGACTCTGAAGAGATTAAGATTCAAACATTGCATGTGTCACTGAACTCTTCAACCATGTTCAGATTTCGTTATCTGGAAGCATATTAGCAATTAGCAATGCATGCATAATGTGCTGTTTTTACAGGTTAATTCTTGGGTTCAACCTTAAATGCCAGTCTACTGCCCTGTAAATGGCATTGTTATGCTGCAAAATGTGGAAGCTGAAAAAGTGCTGTACAAGAGGTGTACAGATGCTGGAGGTGTGGTCTGTAAACACCAAGTTTAATTTACCATCCTGCTTGGATATGTTTTATGAGTTGAAAATGTGGTGTTGCCATTTTCTGGAGGGTTATAAGAGCCAGGGCCAGATCCAGAGCCTGCTGGGTCCCTATAGAGGACTTTAAACTCAGCATCAGTTTTTTGATCGGACACTTCTCTGAAGGCATGCACAAATATTTGTGTCTCCATCATCTTCAAAGTGGATTAATTACTGTTAAAGAACAGGGCCAGTGTGCTCTTATTTTTAGGGTTCACAGTAAATTACAGGGTTGAAATGCGTATGTATTCTAAACATTTTTGCTCTCAATGGGTCCAACTGAAAAACTGTAAAAGGGTGCTTACAGTTGTGACTGGGGGAAAAGCGTGATCTAGAATGGTACACCGTGATCTGAGTCCATAAATGAGGCTGTGAAATGCATCATTTGCAAGTCCATTGGAGGTTAGGTTGTATCCTTTAATGGCCTGTGAAGTGTTGGTGCTCTCTTCTGTCATCCCTTACCTCACCTAAAGAACATTGGTGCTCCCTTGGCAGTAAATTTTAGGGTTCTTTTACACTGCTACTTTATACTTCATTGTAAATGGAAACTTAGTATAACTTATCTTTGTATAAATCGAAAGTAATCTGATCATTCTCCAATGTTTACAACTTTCCATTTGATAAGGGATTCTGATGCTTCTTTGTGAAATACTGTTTATTTCTATACATATTATTGACATTGTACATATAATACACTCCCATGCAATGACGGGAAAATTCCTGACTTGTCCAGACAGCCAGGAATTAAGAACACTCTTATTACTATAGTAGATAAATATTATTGTATTAGATAAAATAACAGTTTTGAGAGCTATCTCTGGGTAAAACAGCATGAATGAGGTCAGGTTCTGCTTTAGCCAGTCATGCAGACATGCCCCTGTGCATTAACTTTGAATAATGCTGTAAGCAACACCAACAGAGTCACATACTGGTTTATTTTGAGGTTTTACCATCCCCACACACTCCCAACTTTTCAGATGCATCAGTGCAACAAAATCTGTTCAATCAAAGCAGTAAAACCTAGTTTCATTTATTCCTAGAAATCCAGACTAACAGTCCTGAAAGCCAAGCTGAGATACCACCTGTTTTGCTGCAAAAAAAAAGTGGTGCCCTACAAACCAGGATCATTTTTGAGATTTAAAGATATTTGCGTGTAACATGGATTCATAAAGGGCTTTTAGAAATTTAATGGAAGTACATACAAACTTCTAAAAACTGTATCTGTGCCCTGTAGGGTGCTTAAAGCTCAAACCAAGACTGAAAATGTCTGCTGCCTGAAAACTGTTACTTGAATTTTGTTGACAGATCAGCCTCCTGTGGAATACAAAGCTTTCCAACTTCTGCTTATTTCTCATTCTTTGGAAAATGTTCTTTAAACCTTTGCCTCAATCATCATCCACCACTTGCTGGTGAAAAATGGGAAAACCTCAACTTAAAATGTTCCTACTGGGCAACTTTCTACTGGAGAAAAAGGGAGAGGTGGGGAAGGAAGGCATTTCTAGTCGTATCAGAAAACCCACCTTCAGAGCTTGAGTAATGTATACAAGTATTTGTGTGATTTTTTGAAGCAGCCCTCTGTAGCTGGGCAGCAGGACTCTGTGTGTGTGTGTGTGCTGAGGGTGAAAGGAGTGCTTGGAAATACTCAGAACTTTAATTCTTGTTTTTTCTCTAGTCTCCCCTCATTTGCAAAGGTGCCAAGATTCATATAAGAATGTAAAAACTCCAGATGCCAGTATAAATCCTTTCCCCGTCCCTCTTCAAAAGGAAGAAATTCATCTGCCTCTGCTTTTTTTCAATCCTCATGCACTCATACTTGCTGATAATAACTGATCTATGGAGTTGTTGCTCTCAGGTTAAATTCCATGTCAACAGCATGTCAGTCCATCCACTTCTTCTATTGCTAACAGAAGATAACTTGTCTTACGGAGCAGAGCCACATTTCCTCAACAGAAGGATCCTCTGAGAGACCAGACAAGGTGGACAGCTGCTCAATTTCCTCTGTCTCCAAAGCAGCAATATCAAAAGCCTATCAGTACTCTTTTGGGTCTTTGAAGTACCCTCTCCTGAGATAGTCTATGCCAAGGACACATAGAGCCTCTGGACAAGTCAATTTTGCCACTTCCCCCAAGACAAGCTGATTTTAGCCTCCAGTCACTTACCACTTACTTTTCTCTAGCAGGACAACACCTGGCCCCAGAGCTCATCCAGCATGATGGTGATGCTCTCCCGGCCTACAAGAATATGGGCCAAGGGAACACACAGTCAGTGAGGGGGGTCTCAACCTCACGGCCAGGCTCTGAGGACAACAACCCCCCACCCAAGGTGTCAAACACCCCACCAGCCCCCAAAGCTCCCACCTCCCTCCTGGAGGAGCAGCAGCTTGGACTTCAGCTTCTCCAGCTCAGTGCAGTCTAACTCGGTGGCTTTTCAGCAGAGCCGCTTGCTTCTTTAGGACACCATAGAGACTGTGAAGAATCTCAGACTCAGCCTCCAGCAAACCTATGGAGGAGTTGGAGGAAGTGCTGCAGCTTGAGGATTCCAAACACTTGTACAGCTCTTGCAGCTGGTCCATCCAACAATGCTGAAGCTCAGGGCTATTGGCTGAGTCCCTGCTCTCTCAAGGTCTGCCCAGGCAACCTTTTCTCTGGGCTGCATCCCTGGGCTGGTGGTCTGGGTGCCAGCAGCTCCAGCCTCTTAATGTGGGCTGGTGGCCTGGGTGGGAGCAGGCCAAGACTTTCTCCGTGGGGTTTTGGCCTGGGTGAAAGGAGCTCCAGGCCTTCTCCGTGGGCTGCTGGGCTCAGTATCAAGGGTACCAGACCTTCTCTGTGGGCTGGAAGGCTGAGCAGTAGGGGCTCCACTCTGTGTCCCTGGAGTGGCTGTCCTGACAGGGCCTCCACACTGTGTGTTGTTTCCCTGAGCCCCAGCGCTGAGCTTACTCCATGTGGGGTGTCCATGTTCGATGTGGGGTCTTGGTGGCGGCAGGCTGCCCTCTGTTGCCCATCTTGGAAGAGGTGGCAAAGTGGAGCCTGTTTATGGACAGAACTGCAGCAGCAAGGCTAGAGCCAGGGTACTCTGCACTATCCCCAGCAAAACCCACCCATGCCCCTGTTTCGCTGGGCAGGTCCATGCTCCAGGAGATAAAGCAGGAGCTGAAGGAGCAGGCAAGGTGCAGGGGGAGCTCCCACCACCCACCAGCTTGGTGCAGTGGTCCTGGCGGGGCTTCTCATTCACATCCTCTGGCTGGCTGGGGTCATGGAGCCTCCACAGCACCCAGGGTTTCTGACTGTATCTGTCCCATCTCAGAGTTGCTTCCTTCTTCCCTTCCTGAAGCTGGAAGAGCTGAGGGCAATGGTGAAGAGTGCAGGACAGGAGCAGGCAGAGAAGCAGGCAGTGTGACCCATGTGCAGGGACACCAGCATGCAGGTGGGAAATCTCCTGCAGCGCTACAAGAAGCTGCAAGAGCAGGAAGACTCCCTCTTTTCGAGGCAGAAAGAGGGCAAGCTGGAGAAGCAGAGGAGCCAGGTAAGGAGATGGTGGCATGTGGGGCTTAGGAGCAGGCTGCTGGGACCACCCTTATCCCTCAGCTGGTTGTGCTTCAGTGTAATGTGGGGGAGTCTGTGAATGGTGTCTGGCATGAGCAGTGCCAGGAACTGAGCTCCTCAGAGGAAAATGCAGAGTTCAGATGTGCCCTGGCCCACCGCTTGGATGGTAGTGGAGTTCCTCAGACCAGAACAGGGTGTTTGCAGCCAAGCTTCCCAACGTCTGATCTCTGGAACAGAGGCACTAATTAAATACAGGTAGTGTATATAACTTTGTACTAGTAGGGACTTCTAAACGATTCCCAACTCATGCTATTAGCATGGGGGGTGAGGGGGCTTTTCCTACCTGCTCTGGTCGAAGTACTTATTCCTCAATAAATGGCTCTGCTTCCCATCTAATTATGTGGTATCTGATGCCTGCATGTTATTTTAATGGCTGGCTCATAAGATGGGCAGGAGAATGTCTCAAGCTATTCATGGTCTCTCTTCAGATAGGCTCTTTGGAGAGCAAAGTCCTCAGTGAGGAGCAGCCCATGGGGAGGCTGCTGCAGAAAGCTCTTGAAAGTGGCAGTGATCAGCTCAGTCTGCCACTGAGGTAAAGGACCAGGAGAGGTTTTGTACCCTGCAGGGCTGCAATGGAGCCCGGACAGCTGGGAGCATCCTGGGTTGGGGTGCAAGGGATGCCCCCGAGCAGCTAAGCCTGTGAAGGCAAAGCCCACCCATGCTCCCATCTCGCTGGCCAGGTCCACGCTCCAGGTGATAAAGCAGGACCTGAAGCAGCAGGCAGAGCAGCAGGGAGTGAACAGGGCCACACTGGAGTAGTTGGGCACCACATTGGAGCAGCTGCAGGAGCAGGTGAGGTGCAGAGGGAGCTCCCACCACCCACCAGCACTGTGGGGTGCTCCTGGCAGGGTTCCCAGCCACATCCCCTGGCTGGCTGGGGGTCATGGAGCCTCCACAGCACCTGGGGTTGTTCACTGCACCCATACCATCTCAGAGGAGCTTCCTTGTCCCCTCCCTGCAGCTGGAAGAGTTGAGAGCAATGGTGAGGAGTGCAGGACAGGAGCAGGCAGAGAGGCAGGCAGTGTGACCCATGTGCAGGGACACCAGCACGCCAGTGGGAAATCTCCTGCAGCGCTACAAGAGCAGCTGGACTCCTTCCTGTGGAGGCAGGAGGAGGTCAAAGTGGAAAGGCAGAGGAGTCAGGTAAGGAGATGGTGGCATGTGGTGGATAAAGAACTGGCTGGATGGCTGCACGCAGAGTTGTGGTCAATGGCTCAATGTCCGGCAGGAGACCAGTAACGAGTGGTGTCCCTCAGGGATCCATGTTGGGACCAGTCTTGTTCAACATTTTTGTCGGTGACATGGACAGTGGAATTGAGTGTGCCCTCAACAAGTTTGCTGATGACACCAAGCTGTGTGGTTCGGTTGATACACTGGAGGGAAGGAATGCCATCCAGAGGGACTTTGACACACTTGTGAGGTGGGCTGATGCCAACCTCATGAAGTTTAACCATGCCAAGTGCAAGGTCCTACACGTGGGTCAGAGCAATCCCAGGCACAGCTACAGGCTGGTCAGAGAGATTCAGAGCAGCCCTGCAGAGAAGGACTTGGGGGTGTTGGTCGATGACAAAATGAACATGAGCCAGCAGGGTGCGCTTGCAGCCCAGAATGCCAGCCGTATCCTGGGCTGCATCAAAAGGAGCGTGACCAGCAGGTGGGAGGAGGTGATCCTGCCCCTCTACTCTGCTCTTGTGAGACCTCACCTGGAGTATTATGTGCAGTTCTGGTGTCCTCAACATAAAAAGGACATGGAACTGTTGGAACAAGTCCAGAGAAGGGCCACGAGGATGATCAGGGGACTGGAGCACCTCCCGTATGAAGACAGGTGAGAAAGTTGGGGCTGTTCAGCCTGGAGAAGAGAAGGCTGCGTGGAGACCTCACAGCAGCCTTCCAGTATCTGATGGGAGCCTATAAGGATGCTGGGGAAGGACTCTTCATTAGGGACTGTAGTGATAGGACAAGAGGTAATAGGTTCAAACTTAAACAGGGGAAGTTTAGATTGCATATAAGAAGGAAATTCTTTACTGTAAGGGTGGTGAAGCACTGGAATGGGTTGCTCAAGGAAGTTGTGAATGCTCCATCCCTGGCAGTGTTCAAGGCCAGGTTGGACAGAGCCTTGGGTGACATGGTTTAGTGTGAGTGTCCCTGCCTATGGCAGAGGGGTTGGAACTGAATGACCTTAAGGTCCTTTCCAACCCAAACCATTCTGTGATTCTATGATTCTGTGTGGGGCTTAGGATGGGGCTGCTGGGACCACCCCTCCCCCCCAGCACCTCCTCCCCAGTGCTTCAGTGTAATGTGGGGGGGCCCCTGGCTCCCCCCCAGATTGGGTGGTACAAGCCAGCAGCACGGAGAGAAATTCAAGCCATGCTGCAGATGTCCTGCTGGCACTGAGAGCCCGCAGCCACTAGCCCAGTAAGCCTTTTTTTTCCCCGGGTTGCAGCCACCCCCCTTTGCACAGCACTACCATGTACTCTTCCTCCCTGGAGCAGGGCCAGGAGGTGCTGAGCCGGTTGATAGTCCAGGAGCAGGAGCTGCAGCAAGTCCAGCAGCAGCTGCAGGAAGAGATGGCCTCCGAGGAGAGGGGTGGCTCATCCCCGCTGGGCAGAACTGGCACCTTTAGGGCATGGTGGCCCAAGGCAGTATCACTCTAAAGATTCCTGTAGCAGCTCAAGGAGCAGGCACAGCCGACAGAGACTGACAATGCGGCTGGGATTAAAAAGCGAGTGTGATGGGGACAGTGACAGCTTCAGGACAGCACTCACCCCATTCCCACTTTGTCCTTGCCCGCACACCCGGTTCCCATGGTGCTCTGGGTGTCCATGGCAGTAGTTCCCACTGATGGTGGTGGGTTTTGGAGACAACATCCAACTGCTCTCCATCATCCTCCCCCCATTCTTCTGTAACCAGCCAGCGGGCTGGGACTTTGCTGTGGTACTAGGGATAAGCCAGGTTCAAAATCAGGTTTCCCAGCTCACCCAGCCCTTTTCTCCCCTGCCCAGGCAGCTGTTAGCTCATTCTCGATGCCTGTTCTATGCCCAGCAACTTGGCATGAGGGTGCCTGACTTGTAAGTAGCACACGTCACCGGTGCATCAGGGGGCTGCATTGGTGGGATGGGGGGAGAGGGGTGCTGACAGTGCTGCATGACAGGCACAGGGTACGTGGAGTCTGTCTGGGGGGGGTGTCTGATCCTGCTGAGACCCCTTCAAAGCCCTACCCATTATTGGAGAATGCGGACTCCTTCATGAGGGCAGGGCAGGGAAATGCTATGGGGTACAAGCCAGTACAAGATTTTGGGACACTGCCCTGAGCCAGGGTGGATTGTTTGTCCCCTGCCACCCACCAGTGGTTCTTAGCTTCCTTAGGCCCATCCCACCCCTGTCACCACTGAGCACCCCACAGCACTGAGAAAACCCATTGTTCCCTCAAAACAGGGTAAAGCAAGAGATAGGGGACATGGGACCCATTTTCCCAGGAGATTCAGACATTGACCAGATCTACCATATGACCAAATGCCTGGGTAAGAATAGCCTGTCAGGATCCTCATACCTGTTTACTAATGGAGGGGTCAGATACATTTTGATGCGGGGAAGGAAGGTGTTGGGGGAAAAGCTGTTTGTGTATGCTGAACTGTCCCAGAGCGTGTGCTCTTAGCACCGTTTACAAATGGCAATCTAAGAATTCATGAGTTCAGTATCAATTCATGGCAGACTATAGTCCTTAAGGGTAGTGCTGCCAAAGTGTTCCAGCCTCTTAAATGTTTCACCGGACTGTCCTGTATTTCTTCTGTGATGGTTGCTTTGTTTGTGTGGCACCGGGTAATTTAATTCCAAGACACCAAGAGTTATCCTATAAAAATGCCCTCTTTGCTGGCATGAGGTTGCCTGAAGTGAAGGAGGCCAAATCTCTGGACAAATGCTATCCCAAATTCCCTGCTGCAGTGCTAGATTTAGCCAAGGTAATTAACTGGTGGTTTACTATGAATGTTTCTCTGTTTACTTGTCTTTGGGGAGCAGAATACAGCCTACAGAAAGGGCTGTGGCTGTTAAAGTGGCTTTCTCTCAACTACCAATGCATGATCAACTGTTCGGGTTGGTGGCTTAGTGGGGCTGCAAGGTTACAACAGCAACCATCCTGGGTGACTGGCAAGACTAAGCCAGCCATCTCCAGAGCCAAAATGGTCAGTGCATATACTCCAGGGAGGATTTGTAGCATACAGTGCCCCACTGATTAAGTTTTCCAAGGAGATTAAAAAGGTGAAGAAGGACTGGTGTGTTGAAAGCATCAGCTGATCTTTCAACCCATCTTCCAACCAGCTTTGCTCCTCATCTGCTACCTAAGGTTGCTTTGTAGATCATAAGCTTACTTGTTACTGGCGAGCAGAGCTGTGTGGATACAGTGTTTTCTGCCAACCCTACCTCTATCTGCTGGTGGAGGCACTGCAAAGAAGCATGCCTGGATCCCTTCCTGGTGGAGGGATGTGTCTGCAGTGTGCGAGTTAGGAAGCCTATAACTTTGGAATAGACTCCGGAGAATCCTTCCAGGGAGTTGGGGGTTTGGGTTTTTTTGTCCTTTCACACAGTAGTCTGGAGCTGAGCAACTAAAACAACCTAAAACCCACGTGGCTGTATTTGAAATGGCTGATGGTCAAAAGAGGGCGTAAAGCCTCAGCCAGACAAAGGTAACTGAAACAATGGAGGTTTACTGAGAGCAGAGTGATATGTGCAATGAGTTGCTGTGAGCACTGGTGATTAGGATGGAAGCAGCCAGTTCTGTGTTTATTACACAGAATGGTTTTGGCAGTGGTTGGGCTCATTTCAATATAACAAGTCCTAGAGGGGAGAGACTGAAGTATTTTCTTGCCTTCTCACTCAGAAATGTTAAAGCCTTTATTTCATTTCTAATATATTTGCCTTCTCATGTTCACCTTGCTTTCACAGAAGTGTTTGCAGATTGACCCACACGAAAGACTGTGCTGAACTCTTGAAGTGTGATTTCTTCAACAAGGATGGATTTGCTGAAAGGTAAACAGTTCCTGTCTTACTCAAAGCAGGCTAATATTAGAAGGAGGTTAAGCAGCTGCACTTAAAGATTTTATGCTGGCTTTGTAGAGCTGACAGCTGTTGGATGTCTTGGTTTTGTTTGGGTTTAGCCTTCCTGGAAATGGGAGAACAGTTGAAAGGTAACACAGCGCAGCAGCATGTTTGCCTCATTAGCTGGTCATGACGCTAATTCGTCAGCGTGCACAACCCGCAGCGCACCATATTGGGTAGTTTAGTCTTACACTGTGTGCATGCAATGTGTCGGCATCCACACCAGGCTGGGACACAAACACCTTCATTGTTGTAATCTGAAAAGCATGTGCTTGAAAGATTTTCTTTGTTTTAATGGATACATCATTTTTGGCTGGCTTCTCATTAGTTAAAAAGGCATGGCTGGTTTGGTTACCTAAAAAGCTATCAGAGCCTGGGCTGAACACCAGCTGATGAGGATATTGAGATTAACAGAAGCCTTTTGTTTTTGTTTTTTTCTCTATGTGGAATATAGATTCGCTCAGGAGCTTAAATCAAAGATTCAGAAAGATGCCAGAAACCATCAATTAAAAAAAAAAAAAAAAATCAGCAAAAGGGACAAAGATGATAGCTTAGAAGAAAGAAAAATCCTTGTTGTCCAGGTTGGTCCATCTTTGTTTTCCAATATTCTTTTTTCACATGTTTTAAAATCAGTATGTGCAGCAGTGTAAGTTCATAGCAAAAATATAAGCATAATTGTCCATTTCATTAAAAGAAAAAAAAAGACTAGGTAAGTGTGCTGTGCCTCCCCTTTGGAGGCTACTGTGAGTCTAAACAGCACTGAAGACCTTGTCACCTGATCCAGGGGAATACACTGTGCCTGTGCCCCCACAGCTCTGACACCCAGCACAGTGCAGCCTGTGGGCTGCTGTGTAGGAGTTGTGTGCCGTTGATTCTAGGTGATTGGCAGCTATGAGGTTGCTCTAGTACTTGGCTCAGCAGTCTGCAAGTGGCCTTTGGGCCAGTCCCTTGCAGGTAAACTACACGGCACATACGGAGCTGAAGGGAGAATCCTTTGGGAATCATCAACTCATGTTGAATCACAAAAACATGCTTGTATGCTGCTGTTTACCTGTGTTAAAGCCCTGCCTCCAAAATTACCTATTTTCCTTTCAACCAGCTACCAAGGAGTAGAGGCTTCAGAGTGACTTTGAGGTAACACTGGGCTCAGTTCTCACTTGATTTATTTGAAAGTGACATGAGATATGACTGTTCTTCCTCCATCGTTTCCTATCTAAATCAGATAGGATATCCTCCATCAGACTCTATTCTAAAGTGACTTATTTACAGAGGGTGCTGGAACCCTGGCAAGTCTCCTGTTTGATGGAAAACAGAGGTTTTCTACTAAAACCAATTCCATCTCTGTCAGGTCCCTGCAGAATCATGCAGGTTTAGGCTTTTGACTTCTTATTCCTGCGTGCACTGTTCTAAGCTACTTTGTAAGCATGATCGTAGGGGAAAGACGATGTTTTATTTGCAAACAGGATTTTAGCATTGAGCCAAAGAGCAGAGATGCAAAGCTGTTCAAGGCAAAGCACTCGAAAACTGATGCAGAAGGAGCAGACCGATCTCCAACCTGAGCTCCCTGTACGACAGTGCAATCAACCCTTTTACAATAAGCTCTCAAACCAGTATCAAAGATTCCAGCAGCAGCTTGGACTATGTCAAGAATGCAGGCATAGTTATTCCCCCCAGCAACGAGAACTTTTCTCCCACTGCAGTTGGGATGGGTCCTTTGCCTGGGAACCTTAAATACAGGTATGGGAGCAGAGCTAGAGGAGTTCATATGTATCATCCCTGTTGCTGAGGGACTGAAATGGCCTGAGAGAGGTGTAAGGTGATGATGGTGGAACATGCGATGTGTGTTTGCGATGGGACATGGCTAGGAACAGCCCTTGGATGGAGGATTGTCTTCACCTCAAGCAGCTGTGAGTGTGTTTCAGCACTGGGCAAAGCTCCTGAACAGCAGCAGTTCCACCAGCTGCTGTGGCACTTGGTTTTCTTTGGCTTGTGGCTTGTCCTTTGGACCACATTTCTCTGTTAAGTGAGCTCACAAAAGGATGTTTTCCCTGTGAGCCATCTTCCTAAGCATTTCATGACAATGTTTCTGGATGTCTTGCATTTGTTGTTTTTATTTTCACCAGTTAATACAAAGTTTGGGATGTTTTTCATTACAGAGTTGATGAAAAGAGTAAAAAAATACTTGAACCCATTTGTAAGGCAGTGGAAGCATTCTCCAGCAAGCCATTACAGTGTAAGCTTGACCTTGGTAAGTCATCTGCTTTTCCCCTTTGTCAAAGCAGAAATCAATTCTGAACCCAAGCACATATTTTCTTGTCAAGAATCCCATCTGTTGCAGCCTTCACCATGGCTCCCAACTAGAAATACTCTATTCTTCACCCCTTTTGACCTACCAATGTGTTATCTGTTATTCCTTGCTAACAGTTATCTTATACGAAACATACTTTGTATCAGAGGACAATTTTAAATGAGGGAGCAGTCCTCATGGGTATCTGTGAGACTTGAAATAAATCCACGGCCAAAAAAACCAGACCCTGTGTGCTGTGCCTCTGGAGCAGAATTGAGGATTTGGGTTTAACATGGGCAGGGCCTTATTTAGTCATGTCATATATGCATTGAAAATGGATAATGAGAACAAGTGAACTGGAAAGCTTTACACTGCACAAACTACCTAAGCAATATTCTTTCCATGCTAACAGGAATATTTGCCTTCTTACACCTAACTAATCCAAGACATTCTCCAGGTGGTGTATTTTGTCCCTCTGAAAGCAGTCTCCCTTAGATGATTGCTTTGGGGTTGTCTTGCTGTGGCTGTTCCATTATTTATAATGTATAAATAACACTTGAGCAGAATGGATTCCATCACACACATTAGAGTTGCTTCTTTTGCTCTTCCCCAAGTTCCAACTACAGCAGAACATTGCTGTGTTTATGCATTTTTAAGCTTGAAAATAGCTTTGGCTTTTTTTGTTTGGTTTTGGTTTGGTTTTTTTTTCATGTATTTTCATGAGCTGGTACTTATGCCCTTGATTACAGGTTACTAATGAAAAAAACATCCTTCAGGCAAATAGGAGAAAATGGGAATTCTCCAAGACAAATGTGCATTTGCCAGAGCTAAACCATCTGCCTGAGCTGAGAGGAGTGGAAGGTATGATGTCCTCTGAATAAAAGCTGGTTACTAAATGAGTGGCAGGAAGCAATGTGTGTTGCAGCAGCTAGCTCTTGCTTCCTTAACACTGTATGCATTGGTTGTCTTTTGCAGCATGGCACCCCAGATACCTCAAAAAAGAAAATAAAACCATTTCAGAGTCCTGTGTCGCCTCCCTTGCTGCTATTGATCTCCATACCCCAAGTCTGGCCTCACAGCAGGTAACAACATTTTGGGAGTCTGATTTGATCAAAGAATAGGTTTGGTTTTAAGTTACATGTTGGTGTTGCATTTCTCTATCAGGCAGTTTCTGATTGTCCTCTCCATTTATACTAGACCTGGAAGTTGACCGTCTCTGGCTTTTTCTTCCCCAGTTTGCAGCTGTCAGGGACTTTAATGCCTGAGGCATCAGAAGGCAGCTTCCCCAGAGCTGAGCACTAGCCTCATGGAGAAAATCACACCTACCTGTAAAAAGCCAGTGGGCTCTCATTTCTGCTGTCTAGCTTTAATTTCTGCATACACGTGGTATGTACAAGCACATTATGTTGCCTCTGCCTTTTTATGGCCATTGCTTAATAGATTCCTACCTTTTTTTTTACAAAAACCTTCCCAGAGCCTTCTCATGGGTTTCAAAGGGATAGTTTTGTGCATGCTTGGCATTGGTGTTGGAAATTACACAGCTCATGATGTTGGGTTTGAGCAAGCTGGTAGAATAACAAAAAGGGGAAGTTGTCTGCCTTCACATGAGGAGTGGGAAAATGCATGTACAGCCCTGCAAGGGCATCAGGGAAAATGGAAGGGAGAAGAGAGAACAGTGTTGCCGGGGGGGGGGGGGGGGGCAGAGCTTGTCAAACTTAACATTAGTGAAAATGTTTAAAAATTAAGTCATGCAATCTAAATTAATGTAGCTGTTGATACCTCTCTGAGCATGAGGTAGGAGTCTGGGAGAGAAGGAGGCTTAGGAAAAGTCCTGGCTGTGTGGATGGCTTGTTGACTTGTAGTCTTAAGATTGAAGGACTGAGCTTGAACTCAGCCACTCATCTGCACTATCACTTAGCATTCCATTTTACCATTCCAGATTGTTTTAAGCTGAGGCTTTTAAATATGTTTTTAATAGTTTCTCGTCTTGCATATTGAAAGACATACAGGTCTTTAAGTCATTTTGTCTGAAAGAACACTCAGGGGAAAAAATCGTGTGGTTTTGTTTGCCGTTTTGCTTTTTTTCTACTTGGTGCTCAGGATCTTCCAAGGAATCTGCTGTACCTGTTGGAGTTAGTATCATTCTCTTGCATGTGGGAACTGCAGTGCTGAACCTAGGATTTTTACTGCCAGAATTGCCTCTCTTTCCTTGCTGAAGCTGAGCAGAAGGGACTGAGGGAGCATAAACTGGGGAGAAGAAAGAGGGAAGGAGACAAGGTGCTTTAGAAGTGTCTTCAGAGCCTGTGCTCCAAAATCTCACCAGCTTTCTTGGAACCATGTCCTGCATAGATGGGCTTTACTCAGGGCTCTGGCTACACATGTGATCACATACCTGCCCCCTCTAGGGATTCTCTCTGGGGCCAAAGGAACCACCAGGCACCAGTGCTGCATGTGCTCCTTGTCTGTATGAGTGTATTTGTCAAACTACATGATATTGGAAGAAAGGAGAAAAAACATTGGGATGGGAAATAGTCCTGTTAGTAGAAGTAGGGGAATAAGAAAGTTGTCTCATCTGTGAAGCACACAGGCGTAGGTGCATGGTGTTAGCAAGGCAATAAATAAAAATAAAGGAGGATTATAATCAGGGAGAATCTCTGTGGTTTTGTTAGTCTGCCCATAACATCATTCTGCTTTGCTCCTCTTAGTGCAGTTGGCTAAAAGGGTGGGAACAGTCCACCTGAGTTACCAGTGCTAAGGCTGCGAGTTCTCTGAGGAGGATCTCTCACCCTCCTGCCAGCACAGTGGGCTGCCATGGAAAGGGCTCATGCACAGCCCCAGGGCAGAGCTTGCACTGCCATTGCTGCTGGATTTCTTGCACACAAAGCAGCTCCTGAAATGTTGACTTTTTGGTCTTGTCTGAGAATAGTGACTTTTGGTGTGTGACAAGGGCAGATGCTGGTTTGGAGGATTTTCGGAGAAAGCTGCACTTTCTTTTGTTGAACTGCTGCCCTCTTGGAGGTTTCTTTTCTACATGAGTAGTCAAGAGAGTGGATGGCTGCTAAACTTGCCTTGGTGCACTACCAAATATGTGATGGAAAACACTTTGGCCTTAAAGAAAACATTCGTGCAAGAAATAAAATGTTTAAATGTGTGTTTCCAGCTGTTCCTTTGAAACCCTTGCTAACACTCAGCAGCATGTGTGACCTGGTGTTCAGCAACTTCCCCCAACCTGTTCATTTGGATGGTTGTCTTTTGGGTGTTTAAGTGGGCCAGCTGACTGGCTGCTCTTAGTGGTGAAGGAAGAGTATCAGTGTGAATTGACACACCAGCAAGCAGTGGGTGAGATGGGTTGTTAGTGGCAAGGGAAATGGCCTCTGTGAGCACTCAGTAGCTCAACAAAGTGCTCAATCCCTTAAGGAAACATGCATTTATGTGTACAACTTGGCATAGCAGGTTGTGGGGAGAGAGAGACAGCATCACTTTTGTCTTGGGACTGTTAGGAGACTGTTTTTGCTTAACTGCTCAAAGTCAGATCTGCAGTGTCCCTGTGTTGCTCACAAGCCTGTTTTCAGCTGTCATAGCTTACCCTACTGCACGGTATAGTCGATTTTGGAACTTTTAACTGTCTTTCCCACCAATGTGGAATATGGTATGGATGTCATTGTCTTTAAAGCTTTGTGGCTATCCTGTGTGTTGATGTGCATGTTAAAATTTGTAAGTAAAAGGATATTTAAATCCCAAATCCCTTGGTACAAGTACAAATGTAAGCTGTGCTCACTTGGTCTTCCCTGGAGTCAGTGTGTGAGGATGGAGGCACGGACCCAGAGGTAGAGTGCAAGCTGGATTGTTTATTGAAAAGATTGCACAATATTTATATGCTTCCAAGCAATTAGCCAAGCACATCTGTGTTTGCCTTGCGGTTACATCAGGTGAAAGGTCTAGCTGATTTTCTTATTGACATCCTCTTTCGAGTTCCGACGTCCTTGTTCCTTGCCAGTTCCAACATCTTCCAAGTACCAGTCAGGGACAGGTCACTCTTAATTGCCAGCTGTAGCTTCTCCTTCCCATGGTCTCTGACAGCTTTGATACATCAGTGTTGTGTCAGCTCACTTGTAGTGGCAGCATTACCTGCACTGAAAAATAGGACTTTAAAATCCATTTTTATTTAATAGTTGATACCAAGTTTCTTGCAGCCATTTACAAGTGCAGGTGCCCCTCAGCAGCATTCACACAGCACACTGCTGACCGTGCCCAGGGGCAAACATAACCACTCTGCTTGCCTGAAGTGGACCTGCTGAGGGTTTCCCAAGCTGAAGATGGATGGAGCAGCACCTAGTCAGGACATGGAGCTTCTCACAGCATCACAGTGCTCAGGCTTAGCACCCACTGGCTGTGTGTGGGTCCTTCCCTTGGATATGGCAAACGGCTCCTGCAGATAAAACAGGCAGGGAAATGGCCCCATTCTCTGGCTTTGGGCTGCTTCTCCTGTGCTGCATCAAGGTGTTGGGATTTGTTATTTGTGGAGGGGGGACCAGGGAAGAGGGTGGAAAAAAGGAATGTTTTAGTGGAGGAGGGGAAAGGAGGAAGTTGGGGGGGGGGGGGGAAGGAAGTTTTCTGGCAGGTAAGAAAGGCAGATTGGGGTGGGAAAAGGGTTTGGAGAGGGGAAAAAAGGTTGGGGGGGAAGAAGGTTGTTGGGGAGAGGGGACAGCAAGGAAGGTGTTAGGGGAGGGTTAAAAAAAGGAAAGCTTGGGGAGGGAAAGAAGATTTTAGGAAGGAGGGGAAAAGGAAGTTTTATTGGGGAAAAGGAAGATTTTTAGGGGAGGGGAGAAAAGGAGGGGTTTGGGAAAAGGTGTGACGAGGGGGGAAGGAAGGTCTGGGAAGATTTTAGGGGAGAGGAGAAGGAAGGTTTTACGGCAGGGGGAAAAAAGTTTTTTTTTTTGCGGGGGGGAAGGAAGGTTTAAGGGAGGAGAGGTTTTCAGGGAAAGTGGAGGAAAAGGAAGGTTTTTTGGGGGAAAGTTTATGGTGAGAGGGAGTGAAAAAAAGCTTTTAGGGGAAGGAATATTTTGGGGGAAAGGTTTTTTGGGGGGAGGAAATGAAGGCTGAAGGGGGACCAAGGTTTAGGGGGTGAAGAAAAGTTTTTAAGGGGAAGGAGGCGGTTTTTGCGGGATGGCAAAAAAAAATAGAAGGTGGTTTTGGGGGAAAAGAAGGGTTTAGCAGAGGGCAGAAGGACAGGGCTTGGAGGAACCTGGTCAAGTAGAGCGTGTCCCTGCCACAGGCAGGGGGTTGGAAGTGGATGAACCATTCTAAGGCTTAGGAAGGGGCAAGAATGACTTAGAGAAGAAGGGGGCAAGACCCAACAGGTTTTTAGGGAGACGGAAGGCTTTGGGAGGGGCGAACTCAGTCTTTCAGGAAGGGGCTCGCTTGCGTCGACTACTCCGGCACTGGGAGCGGCGGGCGGGGCGGAAGCGGCAGGGCGGGGACAGCTATGGCTGCGGCCGGGGAGAAGGGCTGTGAGCACTACCGGCGCGGCTGCCTTCTGCGGGTGAGGCGGTGGGGCGGCGGGAGGCGGCGGGTCTTGGCGCCGGAAGGTTCATTCCGAACCGAGCCGATCCGTTCCGTTCTGTGCCGTTCGTAGGCGCCGTGCTGCGGGAAGCTGTACGCCTGCCGGCTGTGCCACGACGGCGCCGAGGAGCACCGGCTAGACCGCTTCCGTGTGGCCGAGGTGAAGTGCACCCGCTGCCGCCTCCTGCAGAAGGTGGGTCCGATGGGGAAGGGTGCACCGCCATCTTGGGGGAGGGGCGCCATGTTGTGTGGGGCCGGCTGCGCTGCTAACGACCTTCTTCCCGGTTCCTCCTCGTCTTCCCGGTGCGACGGCAGGCCCAGCAGCGCTGCGAGGGCTGCGACAACCTCTTCGGCGAGTACTACTGCGGGATCTGCCACCTCTTCGACAGCGACAAGAAGCAGTACCACTGCCCCGAGTGTGGCATCTGCAGGTGCGTGAGGGGGCCGGCGGGACCCTTGCGCCCTGCTCGGGTGAAGAACGGTGCGGGGAGGGAGCCGGCACCGGCCTGACGCTTTTCTCCTCAGGATCGGGCCAAAGGAGGATTTTTTCCACTGTTCAAAGTGCAATTTATGCCTGAGCTTGAGCCTTCGAGGAAAGCACAAGGTAGGAATACACCTGTTAATTCTGTGTTCTAAAAGGAAAACACCCTGAAAGTGACAGTGCCTTGTCTCCATCGGAGGCCATACGAGCGGGGGGAGCAGCAGGTTCTCTTCAGTGCTCCTAAGGGCAACACAGAGCACTTTGGGCTGGCTTTACGAGTTAGAGCTACAGGAAATAAACACCTTGATCTCTTTCTCTACTTTTTAAAGGAGCTGATCTGAAATTTGATTAGATTGTTAATCTGAGAGTGCTTCAGTTTGAGCTACTCATCCTGCTGCAGTATA